TTGTATTTTTAATAGAGATGGGGTTTCACCATCTTGGCCAAGCTGGTCTCGAACTCCTGACCTCTAGTAATCTGCCTGCCTCAGCCTCCCAAAGTACTGGGATTACAGGCATGAGCCACTGCGCACTGTGCCCAGTCTATGGTGCAGTTTAAGAGGCATACACCACTTAGTAAACTAGTCCAGGTGCAATAGCTCATGCCTGTAATCCCAGCACTTTGGGAGGCTGAAGTGGACAGATCACTTGAGGCCAGGAGTTTGAGACCAGCCTAGGCAACATGTTGAAACCCTGTCTCTACTAAAAATACAAAAATTAGCCGGGCCTGGTGGCATATGCCTATAATCCCAGCCACTTGGGAGGCTGAGGCATGAGAATCGCTTGAACCTGGGCAGAGGAGGTTGCAGTGAGTAGAGATCATGCCATTGCACTCCATCCTGGGTGACAGAATGAGACTCTGTCTCAAAACAAAAAACAAAAAACCCAAAAAACAAAATGGAAAGAGGCATACACCTTAGCAAACTAATGGAAGCTTATTGTCAAGGACAGGGTTTGTCAATGAGGGAGTTCAGATTCCAATTTGATAGGCAACCAATGAAACAGACACACTTGCACACTTGGAAATGGAGGATGAAGATACAATTGATGTGTTGCAGCAGCAAACAGGAGGTGTCTACTGAAAAGGGAACTGCTTCTTTACTCCAGAACTCTGTTCTTACAGACCAAGATTATATTCCCAATTAGAAAACTGCAACTTGGTTCCACCACATCCTGACTACTACAGTGTAGGTTTCCCTATTTCATTTACCCCTTCCTCATTCCCCTACTGTACATAAATTGCTGCATGTGCACAAGCATTTTTTTTTTTTTTTTAATGAGACAAAGTTTTACTCTGTCACCCAGGCTGGAGTGCAATGGCACCATCTTGGCTCACTGCAACCTCCACCTCCCAGGCTCAAGCAGTTCTCCCAGCTCAGCCTCCTGAGTAGCTGGGACTAAAGGCTGCCCACCATAACCGGCTAATTTTTTGTATTTTTTGTTGATACGAGGTTTCATCATGCTGACTAAGCTAGTCTCAAATTCCTCAACTCAAGTGATCTACCCACCTCCCATAATGCGGGGATGACAGGCATGGGACACCACACCCTGCCTGTTGTGTGTATGTGTGTTTTTTTTAACTAAACAGCCAATGGTATGTTTTGATTGACATCAAGTGGATATGGGACGGGGAAAAATACTGTTTCTGTGAAAATATACCCTTTCTCCATTAGAGGCATGCTCATTCAACTCTTTATATTCCAGTAAGTCACTTTGCTCTTGTTTTAACAACAACGAAAACAAAAATCCTTGCATACCTTCTTCAACTGGAGAATTTTAATTTTAAAACCAATGACAATTTTATAACTTTTTTGTACATAGCTGTTACATGTAGGGCAATCTGTCTTTAAGTAGGGATAAATTACTCTAAAAAAAGAATCCTAAATAGTTTTCCCTTCAAGCCAAGTATCTTATTGTTTAAATAAACTTCTTGTTTAAAAAAAAATCTAAGTTTTAAGTGAAATAAAAGAAAACTTAAGTCTGTTGTGCTGTTTTAAGCCAAATTCTTCATTCTAAAGCAGCAGCTGCACTTGCTGGTAAGGGTCACAGAGATGGGTAGATGGTGCTAAGACGTTTTCTGGGTTGGCCAAGTGACAGCTTCTCGCCTGCCGTGTGGTACTCCAGTCAGCAGAAGGTCTGCATGGGCTTCTGGGCAGAAGGTTGCAGATCTGGCTGGTTTCCACACACCATGAGCCACTTAGCAAAAAACATGGCCAGTGTGCAGAAACACTTTAAGTGATTCCATGGGTGTGGAGACATCCTTGCAATGCCTCCTTTTTCCTTTCCTTTTAAAACATGTATCTGAGCTGCCAAAAACCTTTTTAATATGGGCCATGGGCACTATTTTTGGTGTTTGTTAGGTCTGAAGGGGGAACCTTGAAAAGCCTTAGCCTGCACTTTCTGCTGGCCGTTCTTTTACATGACTTGCTCTTTAACACCTTGGCAAAGACACCTGCCCTCTCCCCTCCAGAACCTGCGACTGCCCATGTGACCAGCACCAATGCAGTTTAAAATGATATTTAAGTCAGCTTCAAGACCAGCTGCAAAACCTAAACGCATCTCTAAAAAACAAAAAGGGAAAATACATGTTTTTATAGCCTCATTAGTTTTCCTACCACAGAAAAATGCTCACTTCGCACAGCAAGACTTTCCTCAAATGATGAATAGTTCAAATACAACACATCCGTCTATGGAGAAAACTTTAATAGTTGCAGTTTATATAGATGGTTTATCGAGATCATTAATAATCAGTATTGTTGCTTAATGAACTGAGGGTAGAGAGGAAAGACAAACGGAATGAGATGTGGTTTGGCTAAGCAGTCAAACTACACAAATGTTCCTGGCTAGAATAAAAAATGGGGAGGGGGGGCCAGGCATGGTGGCTCACGCCTATAATCCCAGCACTTTGGGAGGCTGAGATGGGCAGATCATGAGATCAGGAGTTCGAGACCCAGCTTGACCAACATGGTGAAACCCTTTCTTTACTAAAAATACAAAAATTAGCCGGGTATGGTTGTACATGCCTGTAATCCTAGCTACTCGGGAGGCTGAGCCAGGAGAATCACTTGAACCCGGAGGCAGAGGTTGTTGCGGTGACCCGAGATTGTACCACTGCACTCCAGCCTGGGCAACAGAGCAAGACTCCATCACAAAAACAAACAACAACAGCAGCAAAAACAAAAACAAAAAAAAACAAAAAAAAAACGGGAAGGGGACAGACAGGCTCCGAGTAGCGGAAGTTTCTTCTTTCTTATTTTTTTGAGGCAGAGTCTCACTCTGTCACCTAGGCTGGAGTGCAGTGGTGTGATCTTGGCTTGCTGCAACCTTGGCCTCCCAGGTGCAAACGATTCTCATGCCTCAGTCTCCTGAGTAGCTGGGATTAGAGTAGCCTCAGCCTCCTGAGTAGCTGGGATAGGTGGCGCATACCACCATGCCCAGCTAATTTTCTCGTTTTTAGTAGAGACGGGGTTTCACCATGTTGGCCAGGCTAGTCTCGAACTTCTGACTTCAAATGACTCGCCCGCCTTGGCCTCCCAAAATGCTGAGATTACAGGTGTGAGCCACCGCACCTGGCTGGTTTTTTCATTCTTGACGATGAAAGGAAGGGGGCGGGAACAAGGACATCAGACTCTGGAGAAGCTGCTGCACACAGTATTCATGTGGGAAGAGGGTGCAGGAAGGAGAGGGACTATTGGCCTTAAGCCTCTTTTATATAACTTGGCATCCTGGAAATCTGACTAGCTTGTTCAACGGAAGCTGTTTCTAGCTAGGGTGGACAGATCATAATTTAAGTAGGAGGGTGTGTGTGTTTTCCTCTTCCTTCTACCCCAGCAAACAGACTTGAAAAACTGAGGAAATAACTGCTTGTTTCTCTGTGGACAACAAAATAGGAAAAAGGGGCTAGATATCAAAATGTATTTGAAATACATTGAAGAGTCATCTGGATTAGCAATGAGACAAATAGACACAGTGAACTGCTAAGGCACGTAATGTGCTCTCTAGGTCATTTTAATCCAACATCACAACCTTCCCATAGTGGGGACAATTCCTTACTCTGCAGAGGTAAATATGGAGGCAGCTCTCGACCTTAGCCTCAGTTATGCAACAAGTTAGGAAAAGCCAGCATCACCACCACCATAAGGGGTCTCTAAGAACAAAGGGATATCTGAGTCTATGGGGCTATTTGAGTGCTGCATGAACAAGATCAGCAGTCGTTTCCTCTCCAAGAACCCTATGTGGACTCTGAAAATCAGCACTTCCTTCCATTTGACCATGCATCGTTTTTCTTTTTTTTTTCTCCGAGATGGAGTCTGGCTCTGTTGCCCCAGCTGGAGTATGATGGTGCAATCTCAGCTCACTGCAACCTCCACCTCCTGGGTTCAAATTATTATCCTGCCTCAGCTTCCCAACTAACTGAGATTACAAGTATGTACCACCACACCCAGATCATTTTTGTATTTTTAGTAGAAACGGGGTTTTGCCATGTTGGTCTGTCAGACTGTTCTCGAACACCTGACCTCAGGTGATACACCGCCTCGGCCTCCCAAAGTGTTGGGATTACAGGCATGAGCCACTGAGGCTTGCCTGTACCATTTTTCATACTGCAAAAATGATTAGGCAGAGCTATAAAATCATGGGGAGCAACATGCAATTAACTGTGATTTCCTATGTGCCTTCCCAGGAATCATGAACTATCTGATAGGCCTTTCCCATTCTGAGATGAGGTCTCAGTCTGTCACTCAGGCTGGAGTGCAAGTGGCATAATCAAGGCCACAGTTCACTGCAGCCTCAACCTCCTGGACTCAAGCTATCCTCCCATCTGAGCCTCATGAAAGGCTGAGACTACAGGAACATGCCATTGTCCCAAGCTAATTTTTACTCTTTGCATAGAGATGAAGTCTCACTATGTTGGCCAGGCTGGTCTCAATTGACCTTCTTGCCGTGTTCTTCCAAGATGTTGGGATTATGGGCATGAGCCACTGCCCCCACAACCTCTCCATTCCCAATAACTCATGTGTTTAACTCTTGAATGCCAATGAGATACACCAAAAAATAAAAAATAACTTAGGCTGATTCCTTGGGATAAAAAATACCCCTTAACTTTCTTACTTTAATCTCCCTTGGAATGTAGCAAAATCTTACCTGCTTACTGAAAGTGCATATGGACTTAAAGCAATCATAAGCAAAACAGCTGAACACATGGTTAGGAATGTTGGAAGCTCGAGTCTGTTTGTCCTCCATTCCTCTTGACCTAAGATGCTGATTTTATCAGCACTGGGATATTAAAAACACTGTGTGTCAATCAAACCATAAAGCCTACCCCTTAGGCTGAACTGTGTGCATCTGCCTGGCCACATGTTGGGGGAAAGGTCCTCAGACACAATCAGCAGAGAGTCACAAGGTCATCTTGGATGTGGGCAAACCTCTTTTTAATTGCAAAAGACTTCATTTATAGCACATTCAATAATGAACCAACGGGAGAGCTGCTGACTTAGGAACATATGAGTATATAAAAATCCCTTGCAGTTCAGGTAGTCAAGATAATAAGCGCATACAAGGAAAGCAACCTTCATTTTTCTGAAAACGTTAACATTTTAAAAGGTCACTAAGTATACTTGGAAGTTCAAAGCAGTAGAATGTACCTTGGAGGGAAAGGAGGAGGAAAACCCTTTTCCATGTCGTCAGACAAATTTGTATCAAATCTATCCCAATTCCGCTTGGTAAAGTCAGCTGGATGACCTCCTTGAACCAGGATAGGGCAGAACACTTGTGAAAGCGGGCCCTGGGTAGGGATGTGAATCCAGGAGAGGAGCACCAGACCCCATGCAGCACCAACCACACCCATCCCACCTTCTGACACAGACGAGGCACGTTGCCCATGTCCCTGGACCCGGATGCACAAGACAGTCATCAGATGGTTACTGCTCCCACAGCCTAGCACTTTCTAATGGTCTTAATTTAGGCCATGGAGAAAAATCCTTTACTACCAAGTGCAAACCGTCATTGAACTTAAGTCATAAGTGATGCTAGGGGGCAAATTCTTGTAATACATATATAAGGACTTCTATTTACCTAATTAGAACAATGATCACGCAATTGACATTCCTGCTTCCATAAGGGTTTGTTCTCTGCACTGGAATGGCTTAAGAAAAAGTTGTCTACTTTTGGTTTTATTTTACACTTTCAAAATAGAGGGAGTAGAGAGAAAATGTGTGACTAATTGCCTAACTTTGGAGCCCAGCAAGTACAAAAGCGAACTTCTCTGACTCTGGGCCCATCAGATTTGGGGGAAGTTTCAGTGCATAGGGAAGGTTAGTGAAGCCCATTACACTCCGAATCCTATAGAAAGAATTCTACAGCCCATCTATCACAGTGTTCTAGTAAAGCATATGCGGAAAAGTACAGGTTTCAACCTAACATCTAATATATATATATATATATTTTTTTGAGACGGAGTTTTGCTCTTGTTACCCAGGCTGGAGTGCAATGGCGCAATCTCAGCTCACCTCAACCTCCGCCTCCTGGGTTCAGGCAATTCTCCTGCCTCAGCCTCCTGAGTAGCTGGAATTACAGGCACGCACCACCATGCCCAGCTAATTTTTTGTATTTTTAGTAGAGACGGGGTTTCATCATGTTGTCCAGGATGGTTTCGATCTCTTGACCTCGTGATCCACCCGCCTCAGCCTCCCAAAGTGCTGGGATTACAGGTGTGAGCCACCGCGCCCGGCCCTAAATTTTTAAAAGTAGCATTTCAGCAACAAACAAGCTCAGAGAGCTCATCGCAAAGTGAAATAATAGAACTACTGCTCAGATGTCAAAAAAGTCAAGCTGCTGCCCTCAGCTCTGCTCAGCCAGACAGGTAAGGTGGCGGCGGCTCCTTGGCAGCACCATTCCCAGTGGCCTCATCATACGGGGGTAGCAGCACCTGAGAAGAAAGAGGGACAGTAAGTTAGTGTTTAAAGGTTTAGCTGTTCCTGGGGAACCACGCACGTTCCCCAAGGTTTAGCTGTCACTGAACTTTTATGCAACTAAACACATTCCACAACTTGTACCAAGTTCAATTTTCTAGTAAGTGGATACACTTCATTAAAAGACTTTCTGAAACCTTCAAGAAGCAAATGGAGAGAGACTCTCAAGCCCTGAGTTTTTCTAACCTTGTCCATGCGTACCTGGATGCCCAGTGGGCTTTAACTCTAGGAATAAAGAAATGGTCATAGCTCTGAAGAGGAAAAAGGACCCCTAGGTGAGTGTGTCAGTGTGCACACACAAATACGACAGGCACCTGACTGACCACCGGCAAACACTCATGGGGAGAGCTGCAAAGTGTAGTGAAAACACCAATCTTTTGGTATCAGCCTGGACTCAAAACCTGGGTCAGTCACACGTTATCAGCGTAGCCTTGGGTAAGTTACTTAACATCAGTTTCCATGACTATGAAATAGGGATACCTGAGAGTTAGCAGTCTACACACTGGCTGATTTGGGCTTTCTTGGAGTAGAAAACGGAATATAGAATAGAATGTCAACTCAATATAATCACCCTTCATTCAGTAAACTGACATTTATTACGCATTTAGTACATAACAATCATTGTAGGTACAAGATAATTAATGTAAAAGACAGTCCCTGTCCTTTAGGAGTTCAGAGATGAGAAGACAAAATAAAACCTCACTAACCTCAAGTGATTGGTGGAAAGGGAAAGACTAGCCACAAACAAAACCACACATGGTTCGATTTTCTATTAGGGATGTCATTTATGCTCAAAGTGGTATTCATCAATTTCATGAATTTTCATTTATCTGTCCCTTTAGCTCCTACAAGAACAACACTAAAATTTTAAGTTTGTTTCAAGTTTCTGTCACATTGCACTCTCGCAAACATGCAAACACACACACACACACACACACACACACACACACACACACGCCCCTCCTCTCTAGCTCTACACACTTCATTACTGCTCTCCTCCCAGGCCTGGAGCTCCTGTGGGGCTGAAGCCGGGTCTCACTTCCCTGAGGGTGGTCCAGTGCCTATCTGACAGCAGGAACTCAGATGTTTGCAGAGTGACAGAGGTGCCATTTAGGCTGGCCCCTGAAAAGCCTGTATGGTTCCTTCAGCCAACTAGGCAGAGGGCATCTGTATTAGCTGGGGTCCAATCAGAATGCAGAAGCCACACAGTGATGTGAATGAAGTTTAATGAATGATTAACAGGGGACTGAGGAACAGGGAACTGACTAACGGGGGGAAGAGAGCACTAATGGATATGAGGATTGAAGGAGGGCACTCAGGGAAGGAACATGCTAGGACGGAGGTCCCTGAGGCTGGGCGGAGACACGGCTGGGGAAGGTGTGGCTGAAGCCCCCTGGACGTGGAGAAGCCTCCGGCTGAACCAGGTGTGCACAGAAGCATCTGCGGGAAGCCACCTGAGAGGCAGGGGGTGCTGGCAGGCCTGTCATGAAAAGGTGCTGCTGCCGCTGTCCCCACTTGCACTGGGCCCTGGGGGGCACTGCCAACAAGGTCTGAACACCACAAAAGCACACAGGAACGGGAGAGGGACTTCCTCCTCCAGCGACCTCTGCTGGCCTGGCTGAACAGGGTCAGGAGGTAAAGGAGAATCATCCACAAGGCCCAGCCCAAGTCAAGCTAAATAGGACTCTGGAACTGGGATGCAAGAAGCAGATGAATGGCCAGCAGGCAACACACAGGCAAAGGTAATGCGCTAGAGTCACGCCCAGGAGCTCCCCAGCGTTTGTTCCTGAAAGAGGTAGTGACCTTTGCCTATGTGCTAAATACTTTATACATCAGGTACTACCCAAGGTACAGACACTGGGGTAATGTTCGGAATTGCCCACGTGGAAAAGGAATGGAGTAGGCAAGATAGGCTCAGGACAGAACACACGCTGGAGGCACAACAGGAAACCACGCCCAACAAACCAGCACCCACTGAGCATCTATGTGTCCAGGGCACTCAGTCACAGCAACTCGAGCCTGAAGGCATGTCTCTGTCTGCTCAGGGACCTGCAGTCTAGGAGACGGCAGATACAGTAAGACTCAACATGAGCCACGTGTGGATACTGACAAGATATGAACCAAGGAGACAGGAATGACTAATATAGGCTGCAGAGTCAAGGATGGGTGCTCAGGAGGATGAGAAGGAGGTTACCTGGTGTGGCGTGGCGTAAGGAGGATGACATTCCGGTAGGGAATGAAGAGGGAAGCACACGACCAGGCACTTTCTGGGAAGTGCAAGGGGTCTGCTACAGTCAACACTGAAGGGAGAATGTGGCAGAGATGAAGTTGGAAAGATGGGCGAGGGTCAGCACATGAAGAGAGCCTCATGGACGACCTTGACAAGTTCTAGCCAGTATCTAACAACAGCGTCTCCACTAGCAGTTCCACAGGGTCAGTTTGAGCTGAGGGAAGTAAAAAATATTCTCTAAAACTAAGCAACAGCTCTCTTCTCTGTGCCTGCTTATTTGACTTTAAGACTGAGCCTCCAGTGCACATACATGTGTGTACATTAGATACAGCAACTTATAACAAGTGGAAACAGCTGTGTCCAGCACCAGAAATATTAAATTTAGCATGACTGAGCTTCAGCACAATGCTCCACCACCGCATTAAACAATTAACTGACTCATATACTTACCGTTAGATAAATTATCCTAAAATACAGTAGAGCGACTTAAATGTTTAATACATAGAAATGGGGTCTTCCCTGTTGCCCAGGCTGGTCTAGAACTCCTGACCTCAAGTGATCCTCCCACCTCAGCTTCCCAAAGTCTTGAGATTACAAGCATGAGCCAGCACAACTGGCTAATTTTTGTAAACTGTGGTAGTTTTAGTAGAGATGGGGTTTCGCCAATATTGCCAGGCTGGTCCAAAACTCCTGACTTCAGGTCATCTGCCCTCCTCAGCCTCCCAAAATGCTGGGATTACAGGCGTGGGCCACCACACCCAGCAAATACTTTAATATCTTCATAGTCGTTTCTTTCAAATATTCTATTGCCTTGACCCTTAATCCAAAGCTCAAGAGGCCTGGAAAAGAATTTCTCCTTTCATGAAAGTTTCTGACACCCTCCCTTGTTTTCACTATTCCTTCAACACGTACTAAATACTGATTGCAAAATATTCTCCGGATGATGCCTTTGGACTAGTTTCAAAAGGTCTCCACATGGAATTGGTTGTAAATCTTTTTATCTAAGTGATGCTGATGCTAGTGAGATATAAAAGAAGGGCTGGTGAAGGAAGCATTGCCAGTTTCCACTGCAGTCTGCTGACTAAAAGCACTTGCTATTTCTCCTTACTACAAGGATATGTAAAGAACTCCAAAATCTGAGAAAATAACTATAGGATCAATGAACATAAAATGTGCCCATTAAGATGCCATATGGCTGGGAGCAGGGGCTCACACCTGAAATCCCAGCACTTTGGGAGGTGGAGGCAGGCAGATCACTTGTGGTCAGGAGTTTGAGACCAGCCTAGCTAACGTGGTAAAACCCTGTTTCTACCAAAAATACAAAAACTTAGCTGGGCATGGTGGTGGGTGCCTATAATCCCAGCTACTCAGGAGGCTGAGGCAGGAGAATCGCTTGAACCCGGGAGGCAGAGGTAGCAGCGAGCTGAGATTGCACCATTGCACTCCAGCTTAGGCAACAAGAGCAAAACTCTGTCTCGGGAAAAAAAATGATGCCATATAAGAAAACTGGTGACAACTCTATTATTTTGACATCTGTGGAAGCTGGTGTTACTTAAAACCATTCTTTTTAATTTTGTTTTTAAAAACTTAACCATTTACAATGAATGACTGAAAATAATCTTCAAGAACTAAGAATATAGGTCATGTCCTACTCCTGAAGTCACTTCCTGAAAAGCAGCAGCTACTCAAGGGGCATCTAGATCAACACACTCATGAGCTTAATACTACAACCACAGACTGCTTTAGGTCAAGCAATGCTCAATACAATCAAATTCTAATCTAAGTTCAGCTTCTTGGAGTTGATCTTAACATGAGTTCAGTTATGCAATGGCTGGATGACAGTGGAACTCTCTTCCACACAAAAGGGAAAATCCCTCTTGCTAATGACCTCAGAAGTTCATTAGAAAGACTACCTTCGGCCGGGCGTGGTGGCTCACGCCTGTAATCCCAGCACTTTGGGAGGCTGAGACGGGTGGATCACGAGGTCAAGAGGTCAAGACCATCCTGGTCAACATGGTAAAACCCTGTCTCTACTAAAAATACAAAAAATTAGCTGGGCATGGTGGCGTGTGCCTGTAATCCCAGCTACTCAGGAGGCTGAGGCAGGAGAATTGCCTGAACCCAGGAGACGGAGGTTGCAGTGAGCCGAGATCGCGCCATTGCACTCCAGCCTGGGTAACAAGAGCGTAACTCCGTCTCAATTAAAAAAAAAGAAAGACTACCTTCTATCTATACATAATGCCTCTTCTATTGAAGTTGTCATGCTAGGTGACAGCCTGCTGGTGGGAAAGAAACTCATCATTCATTTCAATTCAACTCAACAGAGGTTCAGCGTATTACCAGAGGTAACTTCATTCTCCTCAGTTACATCAACATATACAACAGTTGAGCGGAGAAATAAGTCAAAGTCAAAGGTTGCAAAATCTGACATCCTAGAATAAAAGTGATTCTAACTAGGCAAAAATCTATAAGATATTAATAATTTGGGGGAACCGGCTGGCTATGGTGGCTCATGCCTATAATCCCAGGAGTCTGGGCGGTTGAGTCAGGTGGGTGTATGTTTGAGCTCATGAGTTAGAGACCAACCTGGGCAAAATAGCAAGACTCCATCTCTATTTAAATTGTAAAACATTTTTGGGAAAATGAATTCACTCCATCAAATAATAATAAATAACAACATGCTCAGGAGGAAAGAACTATTTACTGGTAAAAAGAGAAAATATTTGG